GAAAGCAATCCCAGGATGGGTGACCCACTGGGAAGTTCTCATCTGAGTTCCCAGAAACAAAACCGTGAAGGCGTGGTCGGGGCCCAAAGCGGACAATATCGTGTTACCCCCCGAAGTTAAACGAGTTCGCATGAGAGTAATCCCAGGATGGGTGATCCACTGAGAAGTTCTCGTCTGAGTTCCCAGAAACAAAACTGTGAGGGTGTGGTCGGGGCTCAAAGCGGACAATATCGTGCTATGGTGGAGTCGAGCTCGAGATGTGGCGGGGCCTGGGCTTGGATGTGAGCCAATCCCTGGCCAGAAGTCTGCCTACGAGGACGTTGAGCCCCTAAGGGGGGTGGATTGTAACATCACACATCGCTTAGGGGAGTGGATCATGTAAGCCTTATATGTATATTCCTATCTTTACCTATCACGAGGCCTTTTGGGAGCTCACTGGCTTTGGGTTTCGTAGGAAATCTGAAGTTAAGCGAGTTCGCGCGAGTGCAATCCCATGATGGGTGATCCAGTGGGAAGTTTTCGTGTAAGTTCCCAGAAACAAAACTGTGAGGGCGTGATTAGGGCTCAAAGTGGACAATATCATGCTATGATGGAGTTGAACCAGAAATGTGATGGGGGCTCGAGCCGGTATGTGAGATACACACATCGATATGAAACAAGTAGTTTTCACCTTTATTAGAGTTTTCTATGTCTGTCTCGCGAAAGAGTAAAACAGAAAGAGTTTTCTATGTGTGCAAACTGCAAAAGTATGCTTCATTATAAACAATTCAAGATGCAAGACGGTGACAAATACATGTTTGAATAAAAATGATATATGGTAGTTTAAATGTAAGGATCATGGCATTATTTAAATTTATTGTATTTCGTGAGACATGCAAGCATGTTCAATATTGTAAGCATATACAATATCTTAAACTAAAGAGATTGTTTCTGCTTAATCTGGACACGTCTTGGCTTTTTCTTATTCATTAGAAGTAGATGATAGTCATCATATAATTTCACTCAAAGAATTATGCCACTAGCTATATAATTTAGTAGTATTTTTTTTTACTTGTAAATAAGAAGTCTTAAATTCGACCTCTTACCAATGACAAATTCGATACCTAATCATGGTTGTCATTATGTGGTTCCCCCAAATCTCCCACTAGCATATTTTGTATGACTATTTTTATTTATTCCCCCCTATATATATGACCATTACTTTTTCCTCTTCTTGTTCCACCGTATGGGTGCAGGTTATTTGACCTATCTCATAAATTATATATGAATCAAGTTGTAATTGTCATTGCTTAACAACTCTAATTTTATCTACTAATAATTAAGAATTTAGTTTTATAAACAATTAAGAATTATTTGAGTAGTTATAACCAATACTATCTGTACTACAAACCCTACCTAGCTAGCTTAACAAATTTTCTTGAATTATCATTTTCAAAGTGAGAGACTGAGAGTCTGAAAGTAGGTGCAAAACTCTTCGCATGCTAATATATAGCTGGTTGTCTCCGGCCGTTTGCTAATAATTTGTCTTTGGTTTTCCTCCTGCATCTTGCCAAAGAATGAACACATTACTATTTGTTGGTTCCACAATGATGTATAACTTAAGTTTTCATTTGAAATCTCCCCGTGGTTAGAGACAAGCAGGAGAAAAAACTCTTAGCTGCCGACCCATGCTTTTAGCGTTGGGGTCGGCGACATCATTTTTAATCTTTTTTTTTCTTTCTCCTCTTTGTTTTTAGTTATAGTCACACTTTCGTTCTCTTTGTCAAGGAGAGCCTTCAATTCGTGTTTGTGTGGTTGCTTTCTACTTTGTCGATGAGGGATTTTGTGGTTGTGGTCATGGACGTTGTTTGTTCAATCTCAGATTTTAGAGAGGCGATTGTTATTCATATATGAGGTGGTAGTGTTTGTGGTTTGTATGCCCAGCAAACTACTATGAGAAGGAAACTCGACGTTTGTTCGAAGGGACTCATAGCAGGGCTTCTTTGCCAACAATTGCAAAATCATCAGAGATTGAAGCGGCCTTTCCTCATGGAGTCTGTGCGTTATTTCTCAAACTTGTAATATTTCTGTCCTCGTGACTAGGGTTTAGGATTGAGGGTCTTCCATGATTGAAGAAACGTATTGTATGTTGATGTGTTTGTAATTGTAAGGTTGATGTTTTTTCATTTATGAATTTTTTACCGTAAAAAAACAATGATATATATCTTAAGCAATTAATTGATATACATTTTTATTTTTTTTAATATTCCAATATCGTAATTATCTTTCTGATGGAGTAGTACTACCTAATTAATGATTCACATAAGAACATAACAAAATTGATATCATATTAACCTAATATGGGGGTTGTTGAGTGGTTAAGCTCATATATGAATGAGAAGTTGAACAACCATGCTTTTAAGTAAAAAGGAAAATAAGAGTAGAGAAAATGTGCATTATTTTTTTGTTATTAGACTTTTTAGCTAAAATGGTTTATGAGGTTGACAAAACTTTTCATTTTGGTTGCTGACGATAAAAATATATAGAAGTGGTCCTAAGTTTGTCCATTGTAAATCATTTTGTTCCTTTCATAAAAAAGAGGAAAATGTTTGGTACTTTTTCATACGAATGCAAAACTTATGAACTAAACCATGTTATCCTCCATCCCAATCTTTCATTGCTTATCAAATATTGCCCCTTTTGGAAGTGTAAATTTAGCAGTTAAGCCAGGAGAAGTGGGGAACAGTATTTCTTGTTTGTATCAATACAAGAGTGGGTGCCAACCCTTGAAGTTAGCCTACATGATCACAGGAGATGATATGGTATTAAGCATTAAGCTAGATATATTATAAGTTCAGGATTTAATTCATGCTTATATATGTAACACAAAAGAAAAAGAACATAAAAACAAAGTGGGAGCCAACCATTAGCCCATATGAAATAGTAATGGCATTAAATTGACTGGAGTTTTTATATTTGGATACAATGGATTGGAAGTGTTTGAAGAATCATTTGACAAATTAAAGAAGATAAGATACAGATGTAAATGAGTGCTAACAAGGAACCAAACCAAAGAGAGATTGTTTTGAGTTGAGTAGAGGAAACAAGGCAAATGCCAAAAGGCTGATCGATCGACCCATGCATGTTTATTACATGTGAGTCATGTCCCCCCCTCCATGTTCATTTATTTCATGTCCTCTTGTTGTGGCTATAATTTCTCACCCTATTTTGTTTGCCTCTTGGACACTTTTTTCTTTGCATGATAAATTTTTGTCCCTCAAAGACGTAGCAAACTTTTAATTATTTGGTGTATGACTTGTGGTTCTGGCTAACTTCTAAACCCATACACCACCAAAATTCATCTTATCTTTTCATCATGGAAGGGTGTGACTTTGATCTCCTAAAGGTAATTTTATATACGAAAGTGGTTAAAAAGTTACTTATAGTGCATGAGAATGTAAAAAACTAATTAAGCATAAAAAAGTTACAAATTCAAAACCTAATGAAGGATTTAGTTTGCCTATATTATGAATGAGTATGCTAAACGAGTGAAGGCAAGCATTAAGGTAGGGATTGAAACCTCATCTGGTTTTCACGACTTTAGGATTTTGAGGGTCAATAGCGTTGTCACTCCTCAATTTTTGCTCTAATATCTTCGAGGACGACACCTCTATTGACCCTCAACTTTTTTGCCCCAGGTTTTGGGCTTCATTCATACCTCTTGTTTTCAATTTCTTAGATTGTTACTTTCTTGAAAAATTATATTTTTTTAGGGCTAAAATTGGGTTTAGGGCTTTTATTAGTTCTCTATGGTTGGAGATGGTCTTAGTATTATGGTTGAATAATATTTTTCTTTACTTGGAAGTGAAAGATTTTAAGTAAAAATACTGTTGTGACAAGTTTTGATACTAATATTTCTCCACCCATCATGTAAATATTATTATATTTCCTAAAAAAGAGGGGAAAAAAAAGAGATTCCATATGTCAATTAGCTTAGCTGGGCCTTATTTGTTGACACCTTACAACATCTCCAAATGAAATATCAAATTTAAAACATCAAATTTAAATTTGATGGCTGACTTGATAATTTGATATATTGTCAATATTTTTCATTGTTGATTATAGTACGGGTGCAAGCCCAAACGTCACTACTAAAGCTGTAGAAGGCTAAATGCAGCTTTACCATCAAGTGGTTGTCAACCATTATGTCCTGGTTGAGTTTCGATCGAGTAAGCAATGAGCCTGGTTGCGCTGCTGCTTCTTGGGCTTTTACTTTTTTCTGATCGTTATGAAATAGTTTGTCGGCGATTTTTCGTTCAAAGTTGAGCTTTCATTTTTTTTTTTTTTTTGTTCGACGGTGCGAGAGGGAGTTCAATTGAATTAAAAAAAGCAAAAAACGCTGTACCTAGTTAAAGGACATAGTCCAAAACTTGGACTGAGAACCCATCTGATTAAAGAGTTTGGTCATTTTCCGATAGAGCGTTCCCCCTCCTTCCAAACATGGATGAAATTATAAAACGTAATCTTCAAACAACCAATCAAGAATAAGTAATGAGGTAATTTGTAATGCCTGCATTGTTCATTAATAGTGTTTTGTGGTGCATTTTTAACACTTGAGTCTAATGTTTATCGGTATTTTACAATTCATCATCCAAACATAGGGTTTTCTATCTCTTTCTCTCTCAATTCTTGTCACCCTTTATATACCAGTACTCATGTAAAACAATCCCTCTTTTTTTCACTCCTCATACCTCATGCATTCAAGGAAGGTCTTTAAAACAAAATCCAATAGTTACACTTTATAGATTGAGTTATTGATTGTATAGAGGATCACATAAACTTTCTTCTGCGAAATTTTACCATCTATAAATGAAATTTTTACCACAAAGTACCACTTATATACATTTCTATTATATATTCGTAAACAAGTCGCGTGACCCATATTATGTGACATTTTCGCATGAATTTGTTTTTTGCACCATAGTGCCACTTGAAACCTTTTTCTCGTGCTAAATTATAACTAGTCTCACAAACTTATTCCAGCTTTGGGGAAAATTTTCAATCATCCGAACAGACGACCAACAGTTGAGAGCAACAAGAATATAGAGGCCAGCACCAAACAAAGGTCCACCTAGCACTCGCACTACTACTACTACTACTATAAGGCAATAATTTAAAATAATAATAATAATTATACAATTGGGGAAAGAAAGGACACTGGCAACAATTGTTTGATATACACCATCCTCAAATCAGTATTCGTCGAAGCCATATTGCATGGCGACAAATTGCCAGGAGCATCGAATTTGTCTGAATAAACCGGTGCAAAGACGAAATGATAAAACTCGACAACCTTCATTGATCCGAATAGGTAAGTTGCAAGGATATTCAACTCCTTAATTGCGTCAAGCCGAAGAAACTGGACTCCAATCCTATTTGGACCGTGTTTGTAATTGTCGGAGATGGAAAAAACGAAGTATACAAGAAAGCCTCTTAAGATCTCAAATCAAGCAATCAAATGGCTCCAGCCAGTCGTTACTTGCTGCTTAAGACATTGCTTCAAAGAATAACTAGAACCCCGGAGCAGAATACCACCGAGAAGCTAAAATTGCAGTTGGCAGCACAACTCTTTAGGCGATGCTCCTCTGAAAGCTCCCTCTTTTAATTCTTTCTTGGGGGAATGATATAAGGCCAACTATTCTAAAATTTCTCCCTCCTCTATATCGTCATCTGCCAATAAGAATCTCCTGACACTTGAAAGATTTCTTTCTGCTACTCCTTCCTTGGTAAATTCACCTTCCAAATCAAGAAAATCATCAGGATTAATTTCTGCCATAAGACCTGAGTACTCGTCTATTAAGCCTTGATCAAAAGCAAAGTCCATGTCTTCAAAAAACACTTGCTTCTTAGCATCAGAGCTGGAATGTGAATCGTTGCAAGTTTCCACAGTTACAGACAAAGGCCTAGCAAATGAATCATCGGGTGGCTTCTCACACCTCCTTTTATTAGATATATTAGGTGGGGAACTTGAAGTCTCATGTTTCATGAGATCAAAGACCATAGGATAGATGTTGTCTTCTTCTATCTCCTCCTCCTTAAAGGGAACACCTCCTGTGCTCAAATCATTTTTTCCACAAGTCCTAAGCTCTGGTTTTCCGAAAGTAGGAGGGGAACTTTTAACTACTTCAAAATCAAGACTGTGAGAAGGGAGAAATACATAAATGAAAGGGTATTCCAAAATAACTAAGTTTGCTAACTGCTGCCTTATTGGAACTCTTACATCCAACTCACAGAAAGGTGACCTAGTGCCCTGTAATACATCCAAAAGATAAAACAGAAATAATTATGAGGCAGTAGTTTTATATTTCTGAGAAAAATAATCAAAATACTACCAAAGCAGGTACAATAGGATCAAAAGTGAATTCTAATTTGACCCAATGAACACAATTTTTCACCATAGAACCTACAAGTACACCAATATACCATAAACAAATTGAGTGTGTGTGTGTGTACACGTCTCTGACATTTAGATTTACTGCAAGAAAAGAGCGCCCAGAAAAACAAAGCTAGTTGTAGGTTGCAACTTCATCACCCATAGCAGGTGGAAAAAGCATAGGTAAGCCTAGAATTATTTAATGGTCCGGGTTTGACCTCATGTACCCCTTGAGATACTGTATTTTTCTTGTTTATAAATAAATTCTCCTCAAAGTCACATCTCATGATAGCAATGCTGGAGTGGGATGGACTTTGCACCAAATTTGAAAAAAAAAAAAAAAAAAAAAAAGAGCAAAAAAAAAAGTACCAGCAGAAAAAAGTGGTATTCAATCCATCTAACACAATGAAAGGTGCAATGAACATAATGATGCAGTGATATCAGTCACACAGTTAAAGCTATGTAACAGTGGAGTAAACTAAACTAGGCAAACCCATCTTACAAACTACATTAATTTCTTTCTTCAAAGTTCAAACTATTTTTTATCTTCTTTAAAGCCTTTCTTTGTCATCGATAGCTTTTTCTTTCACCTTCATAGTTCCATATTTCCTACTGTCACTATCTTCCAAGACTGATTTCACTAAAGCCGCTTCTACATCTGGTTTACCATACAAATGCCAATTATTCTTTTCACTTTCATGATTCTTCCAAGATTTGTGCACCTTAAGAGTATTTACCTTTTTTAATTTAAAAGAAAATAAAACAAATATATTAAGGCCTAGACTATGAAGCAGAATTACAAACCTTGGGATATTTACGAATAAAAAGCTTGAGAGAGTCCAGCTGTTCCTCGCAGAATGGCTTTAGGTGATGATTCCATGGGCCAGCTTTTAGATGGTTTTCGATAACAGAGCAGAGGTTCTTGTTTTCATTTACTCTGCATGAAAATCAATATGCATCAGTTATCTAAAAACATTACCCAAGCCTAGCCTAAAAATTAAACATTACTAGACTTCTCAAAGAGGGAAGCAGCTTACTCATGGTCAGTTAAAACAACATCCGTTAAATGAAATTGCCATTCAATTGTCCAGGAGATGCATTTCTTCCTGAAGCAGACCAGGCCAACAGAAAAAAAATATTTAAGAAAATTAATGAGTGATTCAAATCCTCCACAAACACGTTGGAACACTCACTAACATCCTCATTACAAGGGCACATCCCAAATTTTATATAGGACCAAGTATTAATCCATCCCCCAATATTAATCTAGACTGGAAAAGCTTTGAAAGTTTTTACCTTTGATCATATCGAGTTTGATTTTTCTCTCTTTTTGACATTCCACTTGGTAGAAATAAGAGTTTCGTCCTGCGACTGGCAGCAGCACTCCGAAGGCTTTTAAGGCAAAAGGGTAGCCTGAAATTATTGTATCTGCACAACTTATTTCTCAATCTGTGAGCAGACTGAGCAACCCTCTTCACTTCCTCAAGCAAATTGTAGTCTACCAACACAATTGTCAATACAAATGCAATGGTTAAAATACGCAAAAACAAAGTAACAAACTTCACAATGCAATATAAAACCCAATTGTTGAGCTTTTAGAAAAACTACAGAGAATGTTATATCCGCAAACGGGCATCAAAATCGATCCCAAAAGAATATGAATTCGACCATTTTATATCCTATACGTTATTTTATCTTCTTCAAAACCTCCAAACTAGGTACTTAAAAGTTAAAAGATTTATGCAAACAAACTGCAAAATTATCACGAAAAGACAGTCCTTTGTCCATGAAAACACTCACAGTGAAAGAAAAAGCACTGAAATTTACCGAAAAGAGGTCAAAATTGCAACCGAATTGATTCCCACAGCTAGAGACAATTGAAAAATCTAAAAAAACTTATAAGGGGTCGAATTTAAATTAAAAAAAAATAAAAACACTGGAATAAATCAGAAAAATAAGGTACCAGAAAGGAGCTGATTATTGTCCATCTGAGAGAGGGGGACGAAGTTGGTTAGGCGCCTCTTTCCCGTACAGCCAGAGCGAAGCTTGTGGGCCTTGACGCACGGAAGGCTACAGGAGCGTACGGAGCAGCCTGGGCATTTGTACTTGGACGCCTTCTCTTTGCACTCTTGGCATATTTTCGGGTTTGGTTTCGCTGAACCAGCTTCTCCTCCTCCTTCCTCCATGGGTCTTCTTTCACTCACACGCTGACAGACACTGAGGGGTTTTTTTTTTTCTTCGCGGCGGGGGGGGGGGGGGGGGGGGTGGGGGGTGGTGAGGAACAGTACCGTAGGGTTTATGATGAAGGAAGATTCCGACGACGCATCTTGGGTTTGCTTTTGATTTGAAAATGTGACGGCGTCGTGCGGGGTTAGGTCCTGCCCTTTGGCTTGCTATACCCCACCCGCATCGCTTTCACTCAATGGAAAAGATTTATCACCTAGACTTCCAAATTTACCCTTAAATTTTAAGTTCAGCCGTCTGAACTGTACGCACCAGCTTATCTCTTTAACCCGTCTACCCAGGCCACCATCAGTCGCAGGTGACGACTGCAAGTTGCTGGCTACAACCCATGGGAGCGAAAGATAGAGAGACACAGATTACAAGAACTGGGAGAGACCAAAACTGCAGCCAATATTTTGGTTCATCCATAATCAGCCCAAATTTCGTCGGGGTGGGCCGAGCGGTAGAGACGTGTTTATGACGGCCTGCAGGGTTTGGTTCTGCGGTGAGAGAGTCACTGCCTGTTTTTGGTCATATCCATTCATTAATCACAGCGTGAACCGCCGATTTTGTTTTTACATTATCACCTCAATGAAAAGTGGAAAGTAAGGCCATCTCCAACCTATTCAAGGCCATACGGTCGAAAATAGCCGAAATGACATTAAAATTGTCTCTAACCGAAGGCTAGGCCAAAGGGTTTGTGGACCCCATCGGGCCACAATTGGAGAATTGGACCAACTAGTTGGCCCAAGCCAGCCAGCCCCGGCTGGTCCAGTATTTTGAATCCCAACGGCTACTTGCTAATATCAGCTAGTCGTTAAATTTGATTATTTTTTTTTAATTTAAAATTATATATTTTTTTCCTATAACTAGCTAAGCCATTAAACAACATTAAATAACATTAAGTAACATTAAACAACATTAAAAAACATTTAACAACATGAACCTTAATCAACATTAAAAAAAAAAAACATTTAACAACATAAAACTTAAACGCCTACTCCACGCTTCTTTTGACCCAAAGATGTGTAGGTACTTGTTTGTGGCACGCGAACGTATCATCATATGACGCTTCATGTACTCATTTAAAGAGATATTACCAGTTCTTAGATTCAAAGGCAAATTAGGCCCATCATATATTTTTGCACGAGCCCTTCTTGACCTATTTGGATCCTCTTGATTGTCATCAGACTCTCCATCAATATACTCATCTGGCTCATCATCCACAATCATGTTGTGTAATATGATGTACGACATCATGATAGAGTTCAAATTTTCTCGACTCCACCCTTTTGCCGGTTCCTTAATGATCTTCTACTGTGCTTGTAGAATATCGAAAGCTTTCTCAACATCTTTCTGGTATGCCTCTTGGTGTAAGGTAAACCACTTTTTGGCATCATCCACGTGGTTTGCAATTGCTTGGACAAGTGTCGTACACTTTGGGTAGATGTCATCTGCTTAGTAATACCCCATGTTGTACTGACACCCGTAGTAGTCAAGTTGAGGTGATTTACCCTCCGTCAGGTTATTGAAGAGGGGTGAACGCCCAAGAACTGTAATATCATTTTGGGATCTTGGAACTCCAACAAAAACATGCCTAATTCATGTGTCAAATGATGCAACCGCCTATAACACAATAGTTGGCTTTCTCGATCTTCCGCTAAAGCCTCATTGCCATCCGGTGGAATAGTTCTTCCACTGCCAATGCATGCAATCTAATGACCCTATCATGCCCGGAAAGCCACGGTCTTCAGCTTTGCAAATGAGTCGATCTAGATTTGCTTGATTTAGTTGACAGAGGTACCCCTCTTTGTAAAGCTGAACAACTGTGTGACAGAATTCAGCAAGATTATCAAGGCATATAGATTCAGACATACCATATGTGTCATCCATCGCATCAACTGGGGAGGCATAGGCCAGCATTTAGAGTGCAATAGTAACCTTCTGATGAGGTGAGAAACCATGGCAGCTTGTTCTGTCCAGTTTCTGTCGAAAGTATGGATTGACATGTTGGACATCATGAAGGAAACGCTCGAAAACATGATGCCTCATCCAGAAGCGACGTCTGAAATCCTCTTCGTTGTACACCGAGTTAGGGTTGAAATAGTTGTTCATCAGATTCTGATGCGCCATCTCTATTTCGTGGCTTGTAACCGCGACCAACAATAGAGCCATCTTATTGAGGTTGTTCTTCAGTTGCCTCACACGCCATGACCCCAGCCATGGCTGTCTTATATGATGCATTGCGCCATGATTCATCTTCTTCATCAGACTTCTCATCTTCTCGTCTCATATGTGCCAATTTATCTTCCAATTCAAAATTAGATGAGGACCCTCAGTTGGAATACAAAAAAGATCCAAAGTTGGAATTCATTGCAAACTTGAATTAAAAAAATATTGGAGAGGGAAAAGCTGAAGGTGTGTGAATTATAGGCCAATATCTACCCTATTTATGGACATTGGAAACTGAAGATAAGAAGTGTCGCACAGATAAAAATCCTATCTAAATACCCACAACCAATTACATCTCGACATTTGGCACTCGAAATCCTATCCAAAAAATTATTGAGATTACATATCTACAAGAAATCTGCAAAGTTACTCACAGATCAACACGTGGCACTCGAAGCTCGAGACGTAAAATTATTGAGATTCCTTATCAACAAGAAATGTGCAAAGTTACTCACAAATCGACATGTGACACTCGAAATTCGAGACGTAAAATTATTGAGATTCCAACTTGAAAAATTATTGACATTCCATCTCAAAAAATTATTGAGCTAGTTTAATTTAAGTAACCATATTAATTCAATTAAAATACTAAATTATGTTTGGCCATTTGACCCCCTTAGTTGGAGATGGTTTTTTATCACAGTGCTATGTATTGGCCTATGGCTCTCTAGCCCTTCGGTTAGAGATGGTAAGAAATATGACATGGCACTGTTCATTAAAATATTAATTTCTTGGAGAGCTAGAGGGCTAAAAGAGCCATTTGGCCCTCATTCGGTTGGAGATGGCCTAAGTCCCTCAACTATTTTCGGAAAAATTATTTAAATTAATTCAAATCTGCCAATTTATTTCTAATATTTTATTTAATTTTTTGTTGATTTTGAGTTACGTGACAAACATGTAGTACATTTTTTCGGAAAGGGATCCTCTCCGGATCCTTTCCACCAAGTCCACCAAGGCCACAAATCTGTGTCTTTGAAATTTGATCAAACGGCTACAAACAGGGACCCACTTTAAAAGTTATAATAACTTTAGCCGTTTGATCAAATTTTAAAGGCTCGGATGAACTTGATGGAAGGGATCCCCTTCCCATTTTTTCATCCATTTAAATTAAGTTTGTTCATTCAATTTCATCCCTAATAAGTACTAATTTCATCCTAATATAATAGCATGATGAAATTAGCACTTTTAAATGAACTTAGGGATTTATTTTGGATACTAAAATTTTAAATCAAATTTGCAAATTAAACGATGTATCACTAATAGGAATAAGCACGTTAATCAATACTTAAATAATAATTCAATTATCAACAATCATATTATTTGATTTACAAAATATGGTTTAAAAATTTGCTCTCTACCGTTACATCATTACCCATTATTTTATTAAAAATATATTTAAGACTTATTTTTCACTCATGTAATAATTGAAAGACTAAAAAATAGACATCGCACCGAATCATAATATCTCAATAGGATTTTAATCAAATTGATTCCCATAGTTTGGTCAAGCAAATATGACCTCATTTGGGCGAATTTCAATGCTTTTACTAGATCGGATGCTTTAAACCTTAAAAATGGTATAAGATTAACCCATTTTGTCAATCACAGATTCTTGTCCTTCCCAATCAAATTTTAGTAATTGGTACTTAATTTCGTGGGACTTGAAAGCCGAAAATCTTCTTTTGGGGTTTGATGGATTGTGGAAGTTGTGTGATTTTGGAAGCAGGTCTACCAGTCACAAGTGCAGGGTGCTCTGAGAAGCCTGAAGAAATAAGTAGAGTATTCTAAAAAGCACACAATACCTGCCTATAGAGAACCTATGGTTGAACATAAAACTTATTTTCCAACTTGAATGTGTGATCTTCGGAGAAAATAAGCGCTGTATTTTTACTTATTTATGTTTGATGAGGAGTGTAGGAAGCCTTGTTCCTTTTTCTTTGTGCTTGCCTTGTGTTTTTTATTAGAGCATGTCATTGTCCATAGAAAATTCAGACTTGGAATTCTCTAACAATCCACCGCTGATTGATTACGTCCAATCCAAATAAGATTGATTGACTGAAACAGGTTAGGCAACACTTTTGTTAATTTTAAGATTACGCCAATGATAACCAATAATAATTTGATGCTAACTAAAAATAAGAATATCGCTTGTATTGAAAGAGGACAATAATACAATCAAATTCAATAGACAAATTGCAGAATTAAAGAAGCAAAAAATGAAATGAATAAACAAAGCACCGTAAATATGACCGACATCGCAAGTAACGATGGAGATAAATCAACATGTGTATGTAACAAATTGTCTATCTAACAAGAGGATGAAAAGCGTTAATAATTCTACCGTTGGAAGAGGTTCTGGATTCAAATTTTACAAAAAATTGTTGAATATTTTGCTTAAAGAGAGTGTTATCAAGAGGATGTAAGCTCGTTTAATTAAAAAGTCAATTCAATCTCTGTTGCAGTTTAGGTGAATATTAACATGTGAAAATTAGTGGGAGTTAAAAACTTGATGAACATTAAAGTCCAATCATTCTTTTTACTCAAAAAAATTTATATTTGGTTTCTCTCCTAGTGTGAGTCTTTCCAATCATTCTTTTGACTCAAAAAAATTTATATTTGGTTTCTCTCCAAGTGAGAGTCTTTCTCCCTTATTGAGAGTTTTTCTCACCCTTTTGTGTGAGGTTTTCAAAGTCGAGCAATTCCAGTGGCACTGAACCTAGCTTCGGCTGGGGTCGGTTGCAGTTTCCCCCTTTCTTTCCTTCTCCTCTTTTCTTTTCCCAATTTGTTTCGTATGTCTTACCCCGTTGGTATGCCTCATTCTTGTTCACCCTTGGTTCGATTTTTAGCCATGTATCCTGTTGAGATTGTGTCTCTCTCTGGTGTTTCCACCTGTTCGGGTATTTCCAACACCACCACTTTCTCATTGATATCTGCCTTTTTCAGTAATGTTGTTCGTGGGTCTTCACGGACTTCATCTTGATAGTTGGCTTCTATGCCTTAGTTGTTGGCTATCCTTACTTTGTGATTGTGTTCGCGGAGCAGATTGGAATTGGATGGTGCATTTGATGAGGTGTTGCTTGGTTGTGGGTAAAGAATGGTGTAACATCCCACATCGCTCAGGACAGTGAATCATGTAAGCCTTATATGTATATATTCTCATCTCTACCTTGCACGAGGCCTTTTGGGAACTCACTAGCTTCGAGTTCCGTAGGAACTCCGAAGTTAAGCGAGTTCATGCGAGA